TATTTATTTAATGATTCAAATATTTATTTGCCTATTATTTATTATATTTGAATAATCATTATTCAAATATAATAAATAATAAACAATTTACGACGGGTCATAAATGATTTATGACCTGCCATTATTCAGTTGTCGTGATTATATACATTTTAACCGTTGTGGAGAAAATGTCGCAAAAGGAAGTTCTTGCGTTGGACTTATTTTTGTACAGACTTGGTATTACGTATACTAAAATTCTTTACAAATGCTTTTATCTTGCATTAGGGGACTGGTTCGCAAATCTTAATTGTAATAATTGAGCAATGGACTGCAATTTCTATCAGTTTATGCGTGGATCCATCCCAAGCTTCAATTTTCCCCCCTCGGGCAACCCCTTGGCATTAAAAAACTGGGTCGTTCAAATTTCTTTCTCCCTCGGGCCAAAATTGTGTTCAAATACTTAACTATTGTTAAACGATTCTTTGTGAGGTCAACGAATGTTGTAGAATTTAGCAAAGTCACGTTTAGTTTCTGGAGTTGCTGTTGGATTGTTCGTTTGTAAGCATCAATTCATGATGTGAAAACTTTCCGATTAAGCCATTGGCTCACGGAAGCAGACTATTTACCGTTTAGGTTTACTATGCTGGAAAGAGTTTATACTTTCAGATCGAACTCCTCACCCCTCCTTGGGCACGGATGACAGTTAATGTCCGTGGTTTTCCCACGGGGATGTGGAAGCTTCGAATTGATCGGTGCATAACAAGCTTAAGGACTCACGTGGGATGTTGGAATAGCAAGAAAAGTTTGTAAATCACGAGCCGGCGGGGAGTGATTATTTACAAACTTCAAACTTCCCGCATGGATTATTACGTCAGTAAACCGATAGAAACGGCAGTCTATTTCTTTTATAAATGAAACTTTACAAAAAAAACATAGTCTGTTTCAATTTTTAGGGGTTTACCCAAGTGGAGATAATTATCTTGATAGAAAGGGCGGTCTCTTTCTTTCATAACTTAAGCTTTACAAAAAGAAACAGTCTGTTTCAATTTTTTAGGGGTTTACCCAAGAGAAGATAACTATCTTGGTTTATCTGTGCAATAGACGATAGAGTTTAGCCAATCAGAGCGCTTGTACTCGTAGCATCTCAGTTATCTTATATAGTAGTTGAATGAACGTGTATCCGCGTACAACTAATGAAATAACCATCCCTGCCTTAAAAGGTTTCCTTACAAACAAAGTATAGTACCGTGGTAATAGATCGTTAATTAGACAAAAATGTTCGAATAATATACAGAAAGATTAAAAGCATCGTCGAAAACACAAAATGGCGGTTGGCGACTGAATTAGACTAAAATCAAGACCAACCGCACGCACTTTTTTCCTGCAGTTTGCATCACGGTAAATAACAATTATATCGAAAGAAAGTAGATTGAAGATGAGCTCCATAATTTTTTTTTGACTCCAGAAAATTCATTTACCAACCTAAACTTTAAGGCAAAGTTGAAAAACACACTTCAATCAAACGTGTCATTTCAACTGCCCCGGTACTACTCTGCCCAAAACTTTGCTTCTATCACTCCTTGATGACCGCCATCTTGAGTAAACACGATGAACAGAATCTATTCACTGATTTCCGATATAATTTTTGGTACATACTACTATCAATAACGAGCAAACGGCGAACATTTCAAAGTTGGTGCGAAAATCTTTGATTTCCGAAATGATCGACGTGTTGTGACGGCAAAGGGTTATCAAATTAACCACCCCGGACTGCTAGTTGCGAAAAAAAAAATCAGTGAGTTACAGCTTAACTTGGGTGCGCTTAAGAGTATGGACTGAGGAATAATGCCACTTTTTAGTTTTACAACGCTTATCATGGTAACATAGAATCGGTTTGTCAAAAAGACGGAAAGCGATCTATGGTCTGCTTAACAAGTTCTCACTCGAGCGTTTGTGGAAATGAGTCGGGAGAGGGGATGGAAAAATGGAAAAGGGCTTTTTCTTTCAGTACCCCCACCTGCCCTCTCCCGTTATTAGCGAGTTTCAGCTGAGCTCATATATGGATTAAAAGAGTTTACTGCACTAAAATATATCCCATAGCTTTGATGTGCCTGTCACCGTTATCTGGAGAATGAGATGCTTCGTTTCCACACGTATTGGCACTTCCTTCACCACCAAACCCAATTCTGGAATCACAAGTGAGACAGTCGTTTTCCTGGTTAGCGATATAACCGATTCTTACTTTGGAACCACCACTTGAAGTACCCACAGCATTGAAGCCCTCCTTGTTACAGTTCGATTGCAAAGAGCCCTCCGCACCAATCAACTTCTTCCACTCTTTACGACCCAGTGAGGTGGAGCGGTATGTACCATCAGCAATCAGTGAGTGCAGAGAGTTTGCCTTCCTGTTAAAGGCAATAAACCTGAGCTGTCCACTAATCTTCATACCGAGACAAATCCTGGAGAAAGGTGTGTTCCAATAGGTCGGTAATTTGGTCTCTTTTGAGTCAAACCCAGTCCTTCCGCCGGGGACGTTGTATTCGTTTTTATCACTCCAGTAGTGAGCGTCATAGTGAAACGTTGCCTGTATCGAATTAAGAGAATATAATTAATTTTTTAAATTTATTTATAATTTATTTATAATTTACTTAAACGGTAGCACGATGCATCACTGATGGCACGACCCTCCTGAAATCAGTACCACGGTTAGCGTAAGAGCCACCAATCTATATCTTACTTGCAAGCGAGTTAACAAGCAATTTGTCGCGTTTTGAGTTATCAGGATCTGGCAGCCCCGTATGCCAGCGGAATTTTCGCAACTTAGAACTGCAAAAAGAATATGGAGGAGTTTATAAGAGATTGTTTCGACGTTTTGGGCTCGCGCTTCATCATCCACATGGAAACCCCGCCAAGAATATTCTGCCATCCGCCATACGAAGCATACCTTTGTGCCGTCTATCTTTATTACAGGCGTCCATCCTCCATCTCCGCATCCAAAATCTTCCATTTGACAGAGAACTGTGGTCGGTTTAGAGTCAAGGTCTAATGTAACCAGTCGACTAACGTTTGACCTGTTTGATACGAAAAGAAATCCATTCGTGATCACTTAAGTTTCCGGTGAAAAATCTTCCCTCGACATGGAAACTATTCGATTATGTTGTCTCTTTTGATATAATTTTATGGTATCACTTACTTGAACAGGTAGTAAGCCTCTTTGCAGGACCCAACAACTAAATGTAACGGGAAAAACCAAAGTCAGGTTTGAAAGTTTAGGCCCCATCACATTTCAGTAGGGTAGACAAAACTACAGTCGTTGTACGTTCAATAGAATAGTTAGCATTAAGCTATTAGTAGAATTGCTGAGTAATGAGAAGTGAATAGATGGAATATTTAGTATTAAGCTATAAGTAGAATCGCTGAGTAATGACAAGTGATAAATATCGCTTAGGGACCGATTCTTTTACATTGCCGAGGGGGGTCGGGAGATTTTGTTTGTGTCACGATAAATTGACTTAATCTTCCCATAAAACCTCTATAATTTTCCGATGACCCCCCCGCTCCTTAATTGGCAATGAATCAATTTTCTGTTGTCCCTCCCTTTAAATTCTATCCGCGACCACTTAATGCCCTCTGCTTTTCCCTTGAAAATTAGTTGATCCTCCGAAATTCCTCCCCCCCCCCCGAGGTAAATATTGATTGGTCCCTGAGGAGTGGTAAAAATAGTAGTGAAAAAAGTATCACTGCTTTTACGAGTGTTGATCATTCATGGTGCGCAGTGGTTCTAAAAGAAATACTAAGAGGTACCAAGGTCCTGGTTTGTAGGCATGTCGTTAATTCTTTTTCACCCCTGAGGCACCAATTCTACAAGAACACACTGTCACATATCTTTGGCGCAATACCCTAAAACGTATCACAGAAGCTGCTGCTGTGGATCTTTTGAGGTTGAACAGCCCTAGAGGTACCAAATCCGCCTTTTTTAACCCATATAGGGTATGACGTGCACCCCAGTCCTTTTTATTTAAGGAGCACCCCTTCCCAAGGGTGATATGAACTTACCAGTTGATGCATGTGTGAAAAAATGATATCATAAACTGTAATCGTACTGATCTGAATGCAGGGAAGTATATTTCATTGTGAAAACATTGTATACACAACGTACCTAATAAGGACCTTCTGTGATTTTCTCTTTGAATTCTACAACGTAGACATCAACACTTAAGATTGTCTCACTCTCATGCTTTTGTCTACCTTTGAATTTGATTTTGTTTTTAGAACTTATGTCTTGCAGTCTTTTCTTTTTTGGAGCAGGTTCCAAATTGTCATAACTATATTTTTGGCTGCGCTTTTGCATAATGTGTTTGATTTGATGAAGGTCTATGTTAGATGTGCAAGACAAAAATTGCATTTCCTAGAGAACAATATCTGTTTTAGGTTTACAAGTATCTTCATAGGTCAACAAGGAGAACATGTACCTTGCTCTGACAGTTTGTTGAAAATACAAGTAATACAGTAGCTTGCAAGCCACAATAAACACCCTGTATTTCCACTAGAGTTTTTGAAAATTAAGTTTTCCAACTTGTTTTTTTTGTATTGTTTAAACTACCAGATAACATCTCATAGCTTTGTACTCTAAGGTGGACAGACATCTCAACTCCACAAATATCAAGACTTGTGTATAAATTTGCTCTTTTTAGATGCCTGTTGACGCCCATGTTACGATTGAATTGACTTCCTCGGTCACCTATGCTACATAGGGTTCTGGAATTCCATTAATTACAAGACTTTGCTACTGAGTAACACATTGCATAAAGTCCTACAGCAAAGCATTGTTTACAAGAGTAGTTGTGTTCTTCTCTCGAACTGTTCACTCCAGATATTTCATACG